ATACTAACATTTGCATAACCAAGCCAACCCGTTTCTGTTGGATAAAAGTCCGCCTTCTGAATATACATATGACCCCAAATAGTTCCACCATGACCACTGCCAATTTTCAATAATCCTCTACTTGTATGTAGATACAGGTACTTTCCATCACTCACAAAACTTCGCCCATTTAGTATTATATTATTTATCTCATTTGGTAACTTAAGCGTATAAATCTTAGCACATTTAGGAACTCCATATGTAATCCAGTCTGGCCGTGCAAGTTTTCCAAGTAAAACAGCTTGTACACTTCTTTGCAAAGATGTCAATACACATGGCATCTATAATATATATATATATATATGTATATTACATACAATTTAAAATAAATAAATTTTTAGAAACATATTTCATGAATTTTGATGAAAAAATTTACCTGAATATTTTGAATTGCTAGTACTCTTGGACACATAAGTAAAGCTGCTATTGCTGCTAACAAACGACCAGTATCACCTCTAACAACCACAAGACTCAATAAACATGCACAAGCAACTGCAGTTAAGTGACTTCCATCATTAGCTGCTGCTGATTCTGGCCCATGTGAAGTTGCAAGATCCAATAATAAGTCAAAAAGTGGATCTATAAAAAAAAAGGAAGAAAAATTAAAAATATCTATTATAAAGCAATAAATTTATATTAATTTGTATACATTACCAATAACATCATCTGGTTCAGATTTCAGGCCTTCAGGAAGTTGTCCTTGTAATACATCCAATAATGCAGATAATGCTTTTGTACACAAAGCAGGTTCAATAGTTCTACTTTCTCTCATCAATGTAAAAACACTTCGTAAACCAATACCTACAATCTAAAGATATTTAAACTAATATATAATTCTTTTAATATAATTCATTTAATTACCTTTGGTAAGCTCTGTATAGTTGATATTCTATCTTCATCATCACTTTCAGTATCAATAGTTTCACTATGTTCCGGTGATGGTGGAGAATTACAATTTGATACTCTATAAACTTCATTTGATGTTCTAGTATGCCTCTCCAAAATAGCACTCCTAACACTAGCAAATACAGCAAATGCAGAAGCATTGCAAGATAATTCTATTTCTGGTGGATTATTATAATTCAAATCTCCACTCAAATCAATCTATAAGTTATAAATATAATTATAATTTACAAAGTAATTACAAGCATAAAAAAAAAATTATATAAAAACATAACATAAGTAAAAGTTAATAATACCTTTCTCTTATCCCTTTTACGAATAGATTTATTTTTCTTACATTTTCTCCATTCTTCTTTATTTCTAAAATATAAAATATATGACGTAGGAAATATATTTTAATTTTAATATTTATACTAATAATTTTCTGTAATAATCTATATATTTACAATTATAAAGGAAAGTGTTGTAAAAATAAACGTTTAAGAAAAAATATTAAATCTTTATTGTTTTTGATAAATACCTATAATCATATGTTTTCACAGAGATTTTCATTAGATTAGATTAGATAAATAATTGACATTAAATAAATTATTTAAAATATAAATCATAAATTAATTCATAAATCAATATTTTTTACACATTTCGTATGAGAATTGTCAAAATGACAATACAGTATACATCAACTTTAATAAACAAACAATTTTAGGTTACTTTAAACATCTAAAAAAATTATAGTAAAATTTAGAAAATCGATGATATTAAATGATATATTCAACAAAAATAATGACAAGATTATCAAAATTTGTATCGCAATTATTAAGTTTAATAAACGATAGATGAAGTCACCGCCAAAAGCGTCAAGTAAACAAAGCTGGAAGGAGGTTATACACATTTCGCACCTCTGTGCTTCTGCGATACTTTTGAAAAGGTCATAAAAACATTTCACATAATTTTCCGGTTCCGGCAGCAATCTTTCGTGATCTCCAGACACCATGTTGTGCACAAAATTTTCAACGTACGAATCACCAATTCATTTTCGTAATACTATTGATCGTTGACATTCTTTCGCCTTCCCCATGTGATTGCATCGCACGATTTATTAAAAAGTATTATTCGATGATTTCTATCAAAATACTTATTTATTCGATCAGTAATTCTAAATTCATATACATCAAATAATAACAGTTTTTTTTTTTTTATAATATATGAAAACGATCAAAAATTCGTTTTTGATGTATTGTTAAGAAATTCGTCTTGAAAGTACCAGACGTACCGCGACTACTTTGCGATTTCGATTCTTCGATATACATTATCGTTTTAAGGTAGATTATCATTCGATATGGCGGCTATTTTTTAAATAAATTTTCTTTCATTTTTATATCTCTTTTAATTAGATTTATTTTTCGAAAATTGTACATAGAAATAATAAAACTAAACTTTTACAGCTTCATTATATACAATAATATAAAGTAATATTTGAGATAAATTTTATTCGTAAAGATTCGTAAAATGTATCTTTTTATATTCGTGATAATTGATATTGATATTGAAATAAAAAAGAAATAATAACATTGTTTAAAAAAAACTTCTTTTTTACTTAATATTTTAATGAAATAATATAATTCTTAATTTTGCATATATTATTTTATATTAATTTCTCAATTTGTTATTATGATAAAATAAGGTTTCTTATATGCATATAAAATTATATATAAACTATTCTTATTGGCGTATTATTAAATATTATGTATTTATGTATTATGTATATATACATGCATATATTGTTCAATTGAAGAATTAATTACAAGTTACACAATTAAAATTTGTATATAAAATTATATGAGAAATCTGTCAAAATATTTTCAATGCCATTATCTAAGTGATATATTGATAAATATTTTATTATCGTTTAAAATGTTAATTAAATAAAACGTTAAAAAGAGATATTGACGTAGAAGGCTTATCTCATATATGATTTAGAATTGATCACCTCACGTAAAATATAGTATAGTTCGTGTATTCTCTTATGTTAAGATTACTGTTTTGAAGATTATCGAGAACATAACCTAAGGAATATGATTTAAAGTATAATATAAGTTTAAATTTTTATTTTATTGCAAAAAGTACAAGATGGATATGATTTTCGAAGTTATTATGTGAAATAGATAATCAAGAAAAGTTGCTCAGAAATTGAGTAATTTCTTTCTAATTTGATAAAAACATAACCAAATGACAGCTTTCAAACACGTATGTAATATTTAAATATATATTACAATATATTATAAATTATTTAAACGATTATTATTAAACTTGTTTCATTTTCAGATAGGCTATCTTGACTTATATAAAATTATAATTGTAAGCTGATTTTTATTCGGTAAATATTTCGATCAAAATTGCATTTATCTATATATTTAAAAAAAAGAAACAAGAATATATGAATAAAAATTTTAGTTTATTGTAATGGAATATAATTTTTATGATTCTATATTTTTAGTATATATTGTAATAAAACTTTGTAATTATAAGAAAGTTTAATCTTCAAGATTTAATCTTCTGCTTATATGTATAAATTTATATTTAATAAATATTATTATTTTAAAAAAACACATTGTTTTCAGTTACATTGGATACATCAATTAATAATACACATGTTACATGATTGTGTAAATATTACTTAATGAATATATGCGATAGAATATTTTTAAAAGTATCTTTATAAACGTGTGGGAATGGGCAATTGCTTGTGCAAAGATATCCCAGAAGAACTCGAAGTACATCATGGACATAATCATGCAAATACTGAAAATACTATATTACCAGAATCAAATGTAGGCACAATTGCCTCTAATGATATGAACATTACAACTTTTAAATTTCCAACTTCAGCTAACATTGACAAATTAGTACTTGAAACTCTTGGAGTAATTGGTTCTCTTGTTGATAAGTAAGTTTTATGATAATTATAAATTATTTTATATATAATAATTATAAATTATTATTATTATTATGTTCATAATTAAATATAATAATAAATATTATAATAAATAAATAATTAAATATCATAAATATAAATTAAAATAAATTATATATCATTTATTAAATATATTAATTGATTATATTGATATTATATTCAGTGAGCAAGAACCACCTCCTGCATTGTTAAAATTACATGCTATTGCTGATAAAGAAGATGGATGGATACAAGTTGTGAGTTCAATGGTTAATATTATTCCTATGCATAATCCATTAGGTCCTTCAGTTATCACTCTTTTATTAGATGATTGTCCATTACCATCAAAGGTATAATTATATTTCTTATATTATTGATTGTATTTGAAACTTTTGCCATAAATATTTTAACTTTTTAGGAATTAGTTTTACGATTGTCACACATGTTTCAATTATCTCAAAAACTTGGAAATATACAGACCAGTGCAACTCAGCAACGTAACATCTGTGTTGTATTAGGTTGTATAGCAGAAAAATTAACTGGCCCTAGTAGTATTGCTATATTATCCGATGAGACTTTGGACTATCTTATTTCAAATCTTGTAAGAGAATGAATATTATTTATAAAATATAAAATCTTAAAATAATTTCATTTATAATTTATATGTTATTTTAGAAGGAAAATATTGATCCTTATGTGGTATTGTATTCATTAATAGCCTTGGAAAAATTTGCACAAACAAGTAAGTATTAAAAACATATAATAGTAAATATAAATTAATATAAAATATTATAAATTAATATAAAAACAAAATAAATATTAAATATTGTACCGTGCAATATTTTATACAAATAATGATAATTTTAATAATTTATATTTTAAGAAAATAAATTGTATTTATTTTAGGTGAGAATAAAATAACTATAAAAAAACGTTTAATGGCAGAGAAACCAAATCCATTATTAGAATTGGAAAAGTGGGCAACAGAAACTCATTATGTACGTCGTCAAGTAGGTTTTTGTGCGCGATGGTGTTTAGACAATTTGCGTAAGTGATATGTGCATTGTATGATATATAATAAAAAGTGTTTTATAATGGAGAATTTTTAAATTGATAAATATTATTTTTATTATTATAGTTATAATGGAAGATAGAAAATATTCTCACGATTCAGTTGATATGTCTGGTATTAATGTAATGTTAAATACAAAGGATGTAAGCGAGTACCTGAAAATATCACCTAATGGCTTAGAAGTAAGTTTTGTAAAATATTATATCATATTATAGAATATTTCTATTATTCATATTTTCCTCACACTTTTAGGCTCGATGTGATGCATATTCATTTGAAAGTGTAAGATGTACGTTTCAAGTAGATTCGGGAATTTGGTATTACGAAACACTTGTTATAACTACAGGTGTAATGCAAATTGGATGGGCTACTAAAAATAGCACATTTTTAAATCATGTAAGCATTTATATCCTTAATGTAATGCAAATGATTATATTATATAAATTATTATATATTATATTTTATCATTATAGGAAGGCTATGGCATAGGAGATGATGAATATTCTTTGGCCTATGATGGTTGTCGTCGATTAATTTGGTATAATGCAAAGAGTGAAAGAAATCATGATAGACCTTGTTGGAAAGCTGGTGATATTTTGGGTTGTTTATTAGATTTGAATAAATTGGAAATAATATTTTCTATAAATGGTGTACCATTGAAACCATGTGTTCAAGTTTTCAAAACAGTACGGTATGTATATTCGTATAAATTAAAAAAAAAAAAAAATTGCGCAACATTCCAAGTATATAATAAATACTTTAAATATTTTAGGTCTGGATTTTTTGCAGCAGCTAGTTTTATGTCATTCCAACAATGTCTTTTTAATTTTGGAAATGTACCATTTAAATATCCTCCTACAGATCGCGAATATAAAAAATTTAACGATTATGCTAGTTTGAAGCCTGAAGATAAAGTTGTGCTTCCTAGACACATATATCTAGATCAATTGAGGAAACTTAGCGTTAGAGAGGATTCATGTACATTGTGTTTTGACCAAAGAGCTTCAGTAAGATTGCTACCATGCAATCATAGGTATTATATATACATTATTTTTTTTTTTTTTTTTTTTTTACATTACATTATATCAATTATCTTGTTAAAATAAAAATAAATTTTATTTCAGAGGATTTTGCCAAACGTGTTCGAATCAATTGATAGAGTGTCCAATGTGTAGAGCTACTATCGAAGAAGTAGCGACCGATAACACATGACACCACATAAGCGTATCAACATTTAATACTCTTCCATTACCTTTCTCATATTATATAATTCTCAGGAATTGTCGCGAGGTAATCACAATTGCAACACATCGCGTGTATCACATATTAAATATAATCATAATATTTTATACATTTCTTTTCTTACAATATAGTATTTTAAATCAAGAGAAGGACTACAAATCACAGAAAGCAAGGTTGCATTTAAATATTACATCTCTGAGATATATCATTTTGAATGTTGCATTCATATACATAGATATAATTATATATAAATTATCACATTGCAAATTCAAATTACAGAAGAATATCACCTTCTACCATTTATCGGCTGTGCAAATTATTTTCCCTAGGTTTTACCTAAGTATGCCTTACATCTAATTAAATATTTAAAGTAAAATAGTGAGATAAAATTTAAATATTTTTTTTACACTATACAGATTAGAAACAAAGAATTTGCAATTTACATCTGAATTGCTATGAATATACATTTCCAATTTAGTATTTGTGACTGGTTCATAAATACATATGTAGTGGACACTATTTTGTCTATGAACGTGAAATTCTTTTCTGTTAAATTATGAAAATCTGTATCACATGTATTTGTCAATATCGACAAACAAATAACTGAATTTGTGCTGTAATGTAAGATTGATTTTAGAAAACTGTAAAATATTAATATCTTGTAGTATATGAAAAAAAAAAAAATATATATATATATATATATATGTATAAATAACATGTATGAGTGTGTACATGTATATATATATATATATATATACGTATATATATATAATC